GAGCCATGGCCGCTGAGCCTGCGCGTCCGGAGCCTGTGCTCCGCAATGGGAGAGGCCGCAACAGTGAGAGGCCCGCGTACCGCCCAAAAAAAAAAAAAGGTATGAAAACCACTGGATTCTCAACTTTGCATCAAAATATAGCTTCTATGAGAATGTAAATTCTGAGAACTGAACTAGGCAGGGAAGATATGTGCTATGACAACAAATAGGGTTAAGATGACATCGTCTCAAAGAAACTTGCGAGTCTTCAAGCACACTTAGTAAATCTTTACCTATCCGAGGAGTTATATAAAAGAAAAACAGACACAGAGAAAGGCAATATTCAGATCCATGACATCAGAAGGGTAACTGACATAGCTGACTTCTATCTAGTGGATCACATTGTTGGCAGAACTCAGGATTAAAGGTCTGTATATACAGGAAAAATAGAAAAATAACACATTTCCCAAAACTCTCCAATCCCTTTGGAGGACAACCTCCAAATCAAAGACAAATGCATTTTCCCTTTGACTTAGCAATCCCAAGTCTGGGTATTTTTACAACAGTGACACTTGCACATATCCAAAATGACACATCTACAGGGCTGTTCTTTAGACTAATGTGATTAACAGCAAGAGACTAGAAACAACCTACATGTCCATCTGCAGGGGATGAGTTCAATAAACAATGACACATTCACAGTATGCAACACGGCTGCTATAAAAAAGAATGCACGTATGACTCTACGTATATGATATTCTGGACTAGATAAAACTATGGGGACAGAAAACATATTAGTGGCTGCCGGACCAGGGAGGAGTGAATACACAAAAGGGCACGAGGGGATATGGGGGAGTGACAGAATTGTCCTACATCTTGATTGTGGTGGTGGTTACATGATTGTGTTGTCACAACCCATAGGACTCTGTACTAAAAAAGGGTTAATTTTACTGCATGTAAACTATAAAATAGTTTAAAAATAAAAATAATGGGTTTCAGTTTTGCAAGAGTTCTGCAGATTGGATACACAACAATGTGAATGTACTTAACACGACTGAATCGCACCCGAAGTAACAGTTGAGATGGTAAATTTTACATTATATGTATTTTACTACAATTAAACAACAACAACGACCCAAATGAACAAAGTCTAATTCAAAGTCTAATTAAATGTGATTTGCTGGTTGACTCCGTATTTATAAGCAGACGGCTCACTGGCTTCAGAAGTGAGTGTTGATATCAGTAGAGCAGAGGGTATTCAGAGAGGTTAAAAATAAATGTCTGGAAGATGAGCCTCAAAACTCTGTCAGTGCCAAATCAGATTATTTCATTCCATCAATCTTTCCAATGTTCAGATTTCACATGTTAAAAATAAAAAATAAAATGAGTTGTTCCCTCTAATCTGATAGAGATCTCCAGAATAGGGGACAAAAGTCAGGTGTAAATAGTGCCTTTTAAGAGGAAGGAAGGGGGATACAAGTTATACCATAGTACTTACTTGCATTTGTGTTTTTTTTTAAAAAAAGGAAGAATTCCCAAGAAATTAGTAACAAGAATTGGGGTGAGAAGTAGGATGTATGGCAACAAGAGTGGAAGTGAGGATTTTCAACAGGTGTGTTTATATATTGTTTGCATTGTCAGTGCTCTCCAGCAAAAGTCTAGAACACACCTGCAGCTGAGCAAGTGCAGGGGCGGAGCAGCTCACGGTGAGGAACTGCAGGCGTCCTGGTAATGTGTTGGGAAGGATTTTTTTTACAGGATTTGGGCTTGTGTTGGGTAAAGCTGGGGAGAGTCAGGAAGGAGGCTTTGATCTGGATTGGATGCTGTCAGGAAAAAGTATACTTTAATTGGATAATTCAGTGAGTGTGATCTAGGAGGAAGGAGTGAAGTGAGGCTTGAGCTGGGATTGGTCAAGAGGCAGCAGTCCTCCTATTAGCCAGGATAGGAGGGTGTTCTGCCATTTTTGTGGTTTAGACAAAGTTCTTATTTATGTCTGGGTTCAGACCTAATTACGGAGTTGTCTTATTTTTGTCCGGATCCATCGTGATCACAGGTTAGCCTTGCCTGATGTTGGTGTTCTGTGAAATTATTTATGTTCAACAGGCCTATCAGATAGTGCCAGGTCTAAATCTGGAAGCAAACCAAATGTCTATCAACTTTTAAAAGGGTAAACAAATTGTGATTCACCCATACAATGAAATCTTATTCAGCAATAAAAAGAAAAAACTGGTAATACATGCAACACGGATGCATTTTCAAAGTATTACACAATAGTAATACGACAGTGGAAATGCCTGGCAGATACTACCTTATCCAAGTAACCAAAGTTAACATCACCAGTCCTAAGACATACTGACTTCATCTACCTCCTTCATCTTCATCTATCATATGATGCCATGAGAAAAGCAAAACATCACTTGGGTGGTATTTTTCCCCAAAATGCATTAGCTCAATTTAACTGTAAGAGAACATCAGACAGACCCCAACTGAGCAAGCATCTATGGCAAAAGTGGCCAGTACTCTTCAACAAAGCTATCAAGGTCATGAAGGATAAAGACTGGGGACATGTCCCAGTTTGTAGACTAAGGAGGCATGACAACTAAATGCACTGTGGGATCCTGGACTGGATTCAAGACATGAAAAGGGACATTAGTGGCAACATATGAAGTCAGCCAATTAGTTAACGGTACTAAATCAATGTAAACGTCCTAGTTTAGATCATTGTACTAAACTGAGTAAGGTAAGATGTTAACCTTAGGGGAAACAGGGTAAATGGTATATGGGAACTCTGTACACTATGTCTGCAACATTTCCATTAACCTAACATTATTTCAAAAATAAAGCTGCTTTCTTTTGAAAAAAGGAAAGCATTATGCTTAGTGAAGGAAGCCAGACCCAAAAGGCTGCCTACTGTTTGAGACCATTTATATGATATTCTGAAAGGGCAAAACTATAGGTACAGAAATCACCTCCATGGTATCGAGGGACTGAGGGAAGGGGAAAGCAGGTAGGACCAGGGAAAATTCTATGTCTTTATTTTGTGGCGTTTTTACAAAACTCATAGACTGTATAACAAAAGGGTGAATTTTGCAGTATATAAGTTGCATTTCAACAAACCTCACTTAAAAACAAAAAGAAGCAAACAAACTTTCAAGCAAACAAAATGTCAACAAATTTTCACTGTAACCTGTCTCTGCTTTAATCAAAAAGACTGGACAAGTAGCTTGGAATTCTGAAAAAGAGAGTGGGTTAGAGAAAAATAGTGTAGTGTTGGTTTCCAGAACAACCTCAGGGGACCAGACCCTCCGCAGTCATGAGGTCAGAGGCAAAGATAGTGCCAAAAAAGGCCCCTGGCTGACAGGCTGCCAGGGGGAGAAGGTGGGCAGGCTCAGATGCCCAGTGGCCAAGGAGGGCCACTCTGGTGGGCAGCCTGCAGACTACAACAATGGGGATGCCCGACTATCCTGAAAAGCCCCCCAGTGCTTTATTTAAAGGAAGCATGAGGAAAACAACTTGGCAGGATTTTCCACCAGCACGGGCGTAAGCTTCTGTCAAACTTCAATCGACTTGGAAAAGCTAACTACTTGAACACCTCAATAACGGTGTAACTATCTACAGTTTAGGCTTTATTTTTTTTAACTATGGAAAAATTTAAACATATACAAAAATAGAATAGTATTACTAACTCATATGTATGTTCCCATCGCTCAGCTTCAATAATCATCAAGAAAAGGGGTTTTTCTCAGATCCAGCTGAGGCTTTACGATACTGTCATAGATGACGTTAAACTTGCCCATCTTGATGAACACGGTAAAGATTGATGTTCCCCAAATTGCTTCACTTCACTAAAAGCTCCTTATATGTTGCATGAAGTTACTTATGCTATTTTGTGCTTAATATGTTCCGTTATTTCTCTCAAAGGTGTTTGACCGCACCGTTGCTTTCTAATATTTAAATCTGGAGACAGCAATTTGATCCAGAAAATTATTTTCTTCCTCTGTTAAGTTTTTAAATGTTCGAAAACATTCCCACTCATTTTCAAAGAATTCTAGACCAACTCCTGAGTAAACTGTCATATTTTTTCTTAGACATGAAGGTAGGATTTTTAAAGTCATTAAGCATTTAAAAGGACTTAAGGATTTAAAATCCAATCAACAAAGGCACCAACATAAAGCAATCGACTATACTGCTATATGTACAGCGCTTCTGCATGAGCGTCTAAATGGTGGGTCTTCTGCTGCGTAGCTGTGAAATGAAGGCAAATCTTCTTTCTACTCTGAACTTAAGTACTGAATGTGTTGCTAATTATAAAGAGTTGTCCAAAATTTGAGAATATTAAGAAGGAGTTTTTA